TACAGTCTTGGGAAGGACCCAAAAGGCACATTTTGAAGAATTTGTGACAATCCGTTTGATCATTTAGAGGAAATGGATAAATTCTTTGAAGTGACAAAAATAGACTCAGGAAAAAATAGGAAACGGGAATGAGCGGAATGTGGAGTTCAAAGTCTCCCCGCAGGGAAGCTCTGGGAGCTGAACGTTCACACTGAAGCTGCATGTGAGCTTGAGGTGTCTATGGAACGTCAGGGCGGCTAATAAGATATGCTGTTCTTAAGCTGGCGGGATGGCTCAGTGGGTCAAAGTGCCTACAGCGAAGCCTGATGATCTGAGTTCCACATCTGGGACCCACGTGGTGGAGGGAGAGAACCAACTCCCCAAAATTGTCCTCCACACATGCACTATGCACATGTGTACACACACATACACACATACATACACACACAAACACACACATAATAAAATGTTCAATGAAAAACAGTTTGAAAAGTTGTGTAGATCTTGAGACTACTAAATGTTCACTGCCCATACCATGGGACATGAATTAGAATACTTAATTTGCATCTGCTTCTGTTAATTTTATTCACACACAACTTTGGGAATTGTCAGAGTCTCTCAGAACCCATTTCTTTGTCTGAAACAAGACACAAAGAGAACAGGTTATGGGATTTTATTTGAACAAAATATTTTTAAGATGGTTCTCTCCTCACAACCTGAGTTTGATCCCCCAGACCAACACGGCGGAAGGAGGGAACCGACTTCTTCAAGTTGTTCTTTGATCCCCATACAGCCTGTCCCCTCCTGAAAAATAATGCAGCCTCCTCCTAGCAAAGAGAAACAGCTGTGCCAACCTTACTCCTTGAACTAAAATTCCTAAATTGAACCAAAATATGTTTATATTATGCCATCATGCACTCAGAAGCATCAAAGGACATGTGGACAGGCCGAACCAAGGAGGAGTGGTTCTGGGTGGTTCAGCTACCCATGAACCTGACTGTCCTGGTGGGGACTGTTGGCTCTGCCCAGGAACTGCCTTAGTAATTATAAAATCCCATACAAGGCCCCAAGTATGGCCTCTGGGGCCTCAGCGACTGTTTCTCACCCCACATTGTCATTTACAGGCCATAAATCTAGGCTAGTAATGGAACTGGAGCATCCTAAAAGTTCCTATCTCAGGCAGGTATGGGGCAGGGCATGTCTGTAGTCTCAGACTTGGGAGGTTGAGGCAAGTATCAAGAGTTCAAGACCAACTTGGGTTTCAACATAGGGAGACCCTGTCTCAAGAAAATACTACCACAGATTTATGTATTTGTTATGTATTTGTTATTAAATATTGGGGGTTGATAGTGCTTTTCACATGCTACGCAAGTACTCTATCACTGAATTATATCCTCCCACTAAGTTGCTCAGGCTAGTCTTGAACCTGCTCAGTATCCAGGCATGCCTTGTAACTTATAATCCTCCTGCTTCAGCCTCTGAGCAGCTGGAATTACAAGGTTCAGCCATCATTCCCAACTACCTTCATTTAACTCATAAATTGTGAACTGGGAACCAGTCCTGGTCGTTCTGGATTGAGAGATACTTTTCCCAAGGCTGAATATTTCTCTCCACGGACAGTTTTCCTGGGCTCACAAAACTTTCAAGTCCGAATACTTAAAATCACTCTCACCACTGAGAACAGAGAGCAGGACCTTCAAGCTCAAGGGTCACCAGAGGCTGACACCTTCATCAGAGATGTCTCTAGACAGGACTCTCAGATGGCTCACCACCATCGGCAGAGTCCAGCCTCCGTTATACACCAAGCTGGCTTCCATCATTTTTCTTTAGTTCACAGACAATGTAAAATTGACTCTTGTGACAACTACTTTGTCTTTTAAAATCTTATTTATCATTTGTACTTTATGCATGTATGTAAGTGTACCTATGTTGTGCAATGCCCTTGGAGGTCAGAAGAGGGCATCGGATCCTCTAGAACTGGACAGTTATTAGCCGTCATGTGGGTGCTGGGAGTCCAATCCCAGGTCCTCTGCAAGAACAGCCAGTGCTCTTAACCACTGAGCTATCTCTCCAGTCCCATGACAACTTTTTCAAGAAAGCTTTTATATTGCAATTAAGTTTGTTGGGAAAGATGTATGGAGGTCAGCAGGGCCCTGTACTGGGTTGTTTGGCTTTGTGGAGGAAGTGTAGGTCTGGGCAGGACAGGGTGAGGGACCACCATCTTCCCTCTGGAGGGCTTCTTATAGTGGCTCCCACCCACTGCATAGTCCTTACCTACTGCCACCAGCCCTTTGGTAGGTTTTCTCTTTCAGAGGAAGGCAAAGTGGAGGAGGGAAAGTCGCAGCTGCTGCTAGAAAACCTCAGACGACTAATGGGAAAACTAATGCTCCAGCTGCTGTCCCGAAAGCAAGATGGAAACCCTATCCTCTTTTTCCCTACAGTGAGATTGAGCTGGGCACATGCTCCTGGAGCTTCACTGATTTTCACAAAGATGTTCATCTCGGCATCAAGGAGAACTTGGGTATAGGAAGGTCTGGACCAGGTCACCATCCTGCTCTTGTCTCCCAGGAAGGCTATGTAGATAGGAGAGATGTCTGCCCTGGTCTTAGGTTGTGTGTGTGTGTGTGTGTGTGTGTGTGTGTATGCCATGTCATACATGTGAAGGTCAGAGGACATCTTGAGTCAGTTCTCTCCTTCTACCATGCGGGTTCTGGGGATCAAACCCAGGTCATCAAGCTTGGATGGCAAGCACTATAACCTGCTGAGCCATCTCACCAGACCCCGGTCCTAAATATTTATTTATTTAGTCTTTAAAATTTTTTTATTTTATTTTACTATTTTATTTTAGTGCCTGCATGAGTGTAAGTGCATCAGTTGTGTACAGTGTCTATGGAGGCCAGAAGAGGGCATCAGATCTCTTGGAGCTGGAGCTAAAGACTTTTGCTAGCTGTCATATGGGTGCTGGAAACTGAACCTGGGTCCTCTGCAAGAACAGCCAGTGCTCTTAACCTCCAAGCCATCTCTCGGCCTCCTATTTAGTCTTTTTGAGATGGGGTCCCCCTGTAGCCCCAGCTGGCCTAGAACTCACTATGTAGTCCAGGCTGGACTTGATCTCACAGAGATCCACCTGCCTCTCCCATGTGTGGCGATTAAAGGCTTACACCCTATGACCAGCTTATTTATTTTTGTCAGCCACCATGTGAGTGCTGAGAACTGAACCTGGGTCCTCTGTAAGAGCAGCCAGTGTTCTTAACCACTGAGTCATCTTCCCAGCCCTGGTTGTAGGTCTTTAGACCATCCAAGGGCCCTGTTAGATTAGTTCTATGTGGACAGTGGGTAGTGAGGCAGGGGGTGAGCACATAGCAGGAAGAAACAGATATCCTCGTGGGTAGAACTTAGGCGATGGGGTGGCCTGCAGGAACGCTTCCACCACTTTCCAGTGACTCATAGGGTAGAGGGGACAGAGTAATGTTTTACTGAGGGGTTGTCAGTGATGTAGAACCCTGGGGCCAAGCGTTCACTTAAGGATGTGAGTGACAGCATTTAATCCAGGCTCTGCTGACCTTGGCAGTGTGTCTAGCATATCATGGGATGTCCAGAAGACCTACTGGAAGCTATGGACCTGAGAGGAAGCTGCCGGCAGCCTTGTATTTAGTTTGGGAGCAGAAGGCAGTGGGATGCCAGGCTGAGCGGCAGTTGTGGACACCGATGACATCCAAGTCCTGAAACCACTTAGGAGCTGATGGCTTGACCTGCAATTTGTATCAGAGAATCCTACTGAAAAAGAATGCCACATTTAGCAATGGTTAAGGAAGCTTGGATTATTCCATCGTTAAGGGTCAGAACTGGAGCTGAGACACATGAGGTGCGATCCAGTCCCAGGAGGATTTTGCTCAAGTGAAAGGAGGAGGTGGCTGGGCACCTGTGCTGGACAGCTTTAGTGTCAACTTGACACATCTGGGTAGAGGGAGCCTCAACTGGGGAATTTCCTCCATTGAACTGGGCCGTGGCCATGTCTGTGAGGCATTTTCTTGATTTTGAGTGATGTGGGAGGGTTCAGCACACTAGCACACTATGGGTGGTGCCACATCTGGGCAGGTGATCCTGTATTGTGTAAGAAAACAGGCTAAGCATGGGCCAGGGGAGCAAGCCAGTAGGCAGCGTTCCTCCATGGCCTGTGCTCCAGCTCCTGCCTCCAGGTTCCTGCCCTAAGTTTACCTTGGGCTTCTTCAGTGAAGAACTGTTACCTGGAAGATGTAAAGCAAATAAACCCTTTCTTCCTCAAGTTGGTATTGGTCAGAGTGTTTTGTCATAGCAGTTGAAAGCAAACTAGAACAGCACCCCCCAGGGCACACATCTTCAGTGGACTGTTCACACCCTGTCTGGGTCAACAGGAAATGTTCTCTCAGTCACTTCAAAGAAGTGGAGCAACTTCAAGATCTCCAAAGGCAAGAGGCGGTTTCTCTGTATAGATGGACATAGGAGAAGCTGACTTTAGCCCCAAATGCAAGATTATGCATTTTGTCCTCGGCAGAACACAGGCTGGAGAACTGATCTGGACACTTTCCTGAGCAGAAGAGTTAGTGGTCTCAAAGGGGTTGACTCCATCTGCTCCCATGCATTTGAAAGGGAAATAAATGATGGGTAGGCTGAGCTCCCTGTCCCTGGAGGCACAGCCCAAGCTCCTACTCAGATCTTTTCCTGCCTAGAGGAGTTCAAGAGCTTTTAGCTTTAGTTCGATTTTTTTTTTTTTTTTTTTTTTTTTTTTTTTTTTGAGACAGTGTCTCCCTATAGCCCCAGCTGACCTGGAACTCGCTATGTAGACCAGGCTGGGCTTGAACTCACAGAGCTCCACCTACCTTTGCCTCCTGAGTGCTGGGATTAAAGGTGTGTGCCATCACATCCAGGTCCAGTCTTGTTTATTTTCTAAAAGTATCTCTGGATTTTTATTTGCTTTTGTTGTTTAGTAGTGAAGTTCTTGTTCAAACAATGTCTCAGACATGTAGGAAGCAGAAAATAACTTGGGATTTAATTGGCACAGATTTATTTCACAATTTCACATTGGTAACATTTAACTGTAGACTGTTCATGGATGATAACAGCGAGGTCATTTCCATGAACATGGAACCATATGGAGTCAGGGGGCGACAGACAACAATCACATCACTGTCTCTGAATAGAGTTGAGATACAGGTTTTAGGAAGATAAATGGTCACAAATGAAGACTACTTTTTAAAAATGCTTTTCTTACAACCTCTTATTATTCAATGAAAAGAACCCATAATCTGGAAGAACAAGTTATCATTTCAAAGTCATGTTGCTAACAATCATAGACAGCTTCGAGACCACTTACCACACATGTGAGAGATGGTTAGCAAGCACATTGATTTCTAAGAAGAGCTTAAGTAGTTCTTAAATGCAAGAGGATCACATTTAGAATGGAAGGCTGTGGCATCTATACTTGTTCCTGTATAACTAGAGTTGGGAGAGCATGTATTGAGTTCACAACAACTACCAGGAAAACACCAAGATCTTCACTGCACCAAGCAATTTCTAAGTTCCAAACATAACTTAAGCACTTAAGAGGCATCATGTCATTTGAGTCTCATGGCAGCCCATTTTCAGAAAAGGAAATTGATATTCAGAGAAACTAAGAAACTTACTTTCAGTACGCAAGTCTACCGTGAGGCTGTGTTGGAGCCTCTGCCTAGCACGTAACTGGTGCTGTTTATGGTGTCCTAATGCACTCGACCTGGCATGCATACTCACGAGACACTACAGCTTTTCAAGTCTATGTACAATTACAGGAAGTTTGGAATTTGTACACCAATACCAGCAGGCAGGTTTGTTCTGCACTGAATGGGTCAGTCTGGAAACAAAAGCAAACTCTGTGAATGCGGATATGCTCAGACTTGGTCATCAGTATGCTCGAGACTACCTAGTGTGTATTTGAGGTGGAGGGGATAATTATTTCTCCCATCTCTTTCATACGGTGTTAGGTGAATCTGCCATCCTGACCAGTGGTCCCTCAGTCAGGTGACTAACAGGCCCAACTGGATTAACTCTTATGTTTTGGGTAGCTTGGAATGTTACGTCTCTACCCCTCCAGAGCTAGATTCCGTTATTTTGATCAGAAGCAAATAGCTTTGAACAGGGGCTACTGTAACATTATCCCCTCTGAAGAGGTAACCTTAACATCATGTAGGAGATGGTCTGTACTTGCGGGATGGCTATAACCCTTTTATCCTGAAAATCTAGAGATCCAACTCCAAAGCTGTTCTCCAGAAGGGATTAGTGTCTGAACTGGAGTTTCAGTCCTAGTGTCATGGATAGCCTCCAGGAAGGGTGCTCATTTGTGGGGAGAGAGGAAGCCAGAACATGTTTCAGGCCTTTCTGGACAGAGAACGAAGCACATTCTTGGAACTGCTGGTTTCAAGGTCACTGGCCCTGAACTACCTAGCCAGTTTCTATCTCTCCCCTCTGAAGAGGGGCTGAGCCATTTTGCTGACCCTGCTGTGTTCACAGAAACTGAAATAAGGGTGTTTCAGGTTTCTTTAGGCTTTCTACGATCTGGAATTTAGTCTTTTACTTATTAATATTCTACAATACTCCAGTTTTTTTTTTCTTAGAAATAAAAATTGAGATGGAAGTCTCATGGTGGCGCACCCTTCTAACCCAGGAGCTTAGTACTGGAGAGACCAAGGCAGGATGACTCAAGGCAAGTCTCAGCTACAGCCAAGACCCTGTTCAAAAACAAAAACAAACCACTCTGTTCCAATGCCTCAACTTTGATCCTGTACATTGAAAAAAGCACTGTAATGGGGTTAGCTTTGTCAAGCAATGTCCCTGTGTTATGCCGCTGGGGAGTAAGAAGAGGACAGTCTCACAGCTGGTGTTCAGTTCCTGTCTCTGTCCCATCGGGCATACCCCTCCCTTTCCCTTGGCTCCTCCCTGTTCTCATGTTCAAAGGAGGCCTCTTCCTCTTCTTCCTCCCTTACCACTTTCATCAGCTCCAGGAAGGTGGGGAGTGGGCCCTGATCCTTCAGCTCCCGCAGCCGGCACCAGAGAACGTTGCTAAGGTTAGCCCCAGCCATGACCTGCTCCAGGCGCACCTGGTCGGCGATGTTCCGAGGGATGGCCCGCTTCTCCACGGCTCTCCGGAGCAGAGTTTCCAGCCGAAGTACGTAGGCTGAGACTTTCTCCCCCTCCTCTTGATAGGTCTTCAGGTATCTCACTTGAGAGGCCCTGCGGCTCTCTAGGCTCCCAAAGACCTGCTTAAAGGCCTCCAGACACGCTTCCATGCTGATGGACGGGCTGTCCGCCTGTAGTATGTGCATGAGGTCCAGGGCAGGGCCGCGCAGGCTTTCCATCAGCCATCTTTTCTTTTCTGCCTCGGGAATGGGCCATTCTTTGACTATCTCAGTGGCCTGTTCCAGCCAAACCTCAAAGGGCTCTTCCTCTGGGGCGGGAGCTGTGCTCCCAGAGAACATTCTCAGCTTACAGTGCCTCGTGGGCAGCAGGGGCCTAGGGGCATGGACCACCGCCTGCCCCACCAAGTGAGCCAGTAACTCTGGGGATGTGCAAAGCGCATTAGCCGGAGACACTCCTTCGTGCCCAAGTGCTCGGAACATCCCTAAGACTGTCTGCCCCTCTTTTTCTAGAAAGAGGTTCAGTCTTTGGAGAAACTCAGTGTCCTGGTTAGGGGTCTTAAAGACCACTTTCCAGACACCCTCCTTTCCCTGCACCTCTTTGGGGACCACGGAGACATCCATGTCCTCCACGAACTCTAACAAGACGGCACTGCTGTTGTCCTGCTTACGGAATATCTTGCCCAGCAGTCGGTAGCTGCCCACACACTTCAGTGCCTCCCGAAGGACAGCCTGGATCTCTGCCTCACCACATTCCACTGGTATGCCAGTCACCATCAGCGACTTCTGGACGTCCACACTCATGATCTTGCACCAGTCCTCCAACAGTGCCACTGCCATTGTCCCAAAGTTGAACTCACTGATGCTCTAGGGATGGGCAGGGACTGCGGGGCACTTCCGCCCTCAGTACTGGCCTGATCACTCCCAGAGCAGCTCAAAGTCCTGTGGAGCAATGCTTTCTCCTTTCATCCAGTGGGAAGAGCTGAGTACTTCCTGTATGTCTTCAGACCTACAGCAAGGTAGATGGGTTCCAGGGTGAATGGGGTGAGTTAGTTACAGCACTGCCAGCCCTGTGGCTCTATGGTGGGATTGCTGCTGTTTCTGTGCAGGATGCTGCTCATCTCACAGTGAGGCTGTCTTCCTCATCATCTCCTGGTCTCCAGCACCACCTGTCCCTAGTCAGTGGGGAGGCAGCTTTTGGGGAGGCACCTAGAACTCTGGGGAGTCACACAGCAGGGTGGTGAGGACTCCTGGGGACACAAGGGCTCTTTTTTTTTAAACCACCAGCCCTCTACTTTCCTGGAAACACCCATACTTGGGGAGGCACCTAGAACTCTGGGGAGTCACACAGCAGGGTGGTGAGGACTCCTGGACACAAGGGCTCTTTTTTTTTTTAACCACACAGCCCTCTACTTTCCTGGAAGCACCCATACTTTACTTTGGGATGGGAATGGGGGTGGACCACCACCTCCAGCTCCTGTTGCACCTGTGTCTACCTCGCTCTGGCAGACCCCTTCTTTGCTTCCTGTGATTTTTTTCTTTCTGGGGACCCTGCTAAAGATCCTCTTTATCTTATGCTCATCAGACACGCTGATGAATGTCTGAAGCTTTATCTGTGGGCAAGATTCAAGATCTATATTAGGTGAAGGATGAAATTAGAAGGTGTAGCTAAATACCTTGTTTATGTGTTCCAGAATGTTCCAGTTCAGGAAGATATCATCCACCTCCATACAGTGGTATGTATGTGTCTTGACTTCAGCCAAGCCAAGCTGCCCTGTTTCACACAAACATGAAAAACATGTTTTTAAGGCCTAAAATCCAGTGGTGAAGATTAATGCTTTTATTAAAAATATGACAGTTCAGTAAAGGATGAAAAAAATTACAGTCCTTCATAATTTGATGGAATATCCTAAGCAAGATAAGAGTTGCTTCACATCGAGTAAAGAGTCTAACTAGTGCTGGGTTTGTTCCTCAGTTCATAGAATGCTTGCCTAGCATGTACTTGGGAAGCCTTGAGTTCATTTCCCAGCAGCACATAAACAAGGCACAGTCGTGTAAACCTGCAATCCCAGCACTTGGGAGATGGAAACATGAGGATCCGGACATCAAGATACTCCTTGGCTACATAAGGAGTTTGAGGCCAGCCTGGGCTATATGAGATCATCTCAAAAAATCAAAATAAAAAGTCCAAGTCAAACTATGTTGGGGTGCCCTCCTAGCATTTAGGAAGCTGACAGGAAGACTGCAAGTTTTAAGTCAACCTGGGACATCTAGAGAGATCTAGTCTCACACAAAGAAAGAAAAAGGCGTAAATAAAATGCAACTGAGAATAAAACACTTAAAAATAATTTAATATAACAATGAAAAAAGTCAAATCTCAGAAAATAAGTTAGATTTGGAATTATGAATGAATCTTCTTTTACATGATGATATTGAAATACATCATGAAGTGTTTCTTTGGTTACAAATGTTTGGATACAGGAAAATGTAAGGACTTTGTATTTTTTCTCTTTGTTTTTCTTCCTGGCATTTGAACTTGAATGGGCCATTAAGAAAAAGGCAAAAGACAGGAAACATACCCACTAAGGAGTAAAACATCCACCAAGCAGCTTGCTCTAGAGAGCTGTGAAGACTGGAGAATATAAAAGGGGAGGGTCTTAGCCAGGGATGTCTTCAGGGTAGCGCCTCAGGCAGTTTCCATAACTGGGTGAACATCAGAGTACACTTATGCAAATAGACAGCTATGACATCACTAGCCTGTGGTCTTATGGGACCATTGTGGTATGCTCATTGAAATGTAATTTGGTGCTTGACCTTGCCTCCTAGTGACCTTTGCAGAGTGTGTGTTAGGAGGCTACAACTATTTCTCCTGTGGCCTGAACATCTCCCATCAATCTGAAGGATGCCATATGCCTCAGATGCTGGCTGTAACCATGGCAGCAGCCACTCTTGCTGTAGGAACAGCTCCAGTCTTTCTGGGAGATGCTGAGAGTGGTCCTACTGTGCCAGTGCCCCACCCCATGCCTGGCAGCTCCGAGACCTGGGGCTGCTGACCTCTCCAGGCCTGAGATTTCTTTGTATAATGGGAGATTGAACTTTCTTCTTCTTGAAGTATTTAGAAGAATTAGAGGTGTTGAAGATGTAGCTCAGTTACCATGCACAAAGCCTCAAATTTCAAATTGCATAAACTAGCCGTGTTGGCACAAGCCTATAGTCTCAGCACTTAGGAGGTGGAGGCAGGAGTCTCAGAAGTTCAAAGTCATCCTTCACTACATTGAGAGTTCGAGGTCAGCCTGGGTTACATATAGGACCTTGCCTCAAAGAACAGAATTAGCAAACAAAAGGCATTGAAGGCCTAGAAAGAAGCATCTCCCAGGACCACAGAACAACTGTCCTGCTAAAATCAGGCTAGCTTTTGCAAGCTCTTTCACCCAAATGCCATCTTACGTTCAACCCATGACCTTCAATAAAAAAGGTCCCAAGCGAATGCCCCTGATATACAACAGGGCCACAGAGATGTTTGGATACAAGAAAATGTAAGGACTTTGTATTTTTTCTCACATAAGGGGGTAGGGCTGCGGCCCAGGACAATCTGTTAAAGGAACCCTGCTCTCAGGAGGAGGGTCCACTGGAATTATTGGGTGCTTCATCTTAGAGATGTGACCTTGGGCATAAACACCTCCATCTCTTTATATTTCAGTTTCTTAACGGGGAAGGCAGCATGTCAAAAGCCCTCATTCCACAGGACTTTGGTTATGCACTAAACAGTTCAAGTGGAAGATCTTTATTCAAATGCCAAGCACATCTGGCCGTAAGGCCCAAGGCCCCACTCACGTCGTGTCCTTTCAGCTCCTCGGTAAGTATGGGGTGTATCCTCAAATTGCGCCTTCACCCATAAATCTCAGACAACTGGTGGGGGGCGGCGTTGGTATCGACTTTAATCGTTTTTAAGCAGAAGCTGACAATGGGACGGAATTCCTGGTCACATCGCCGGGTGAGAACGCGCTATGGTAAATTGCCTCTCAGACCAAACCCACCCTGCTTGGTGAGCATGCTCAAATGTTCCTCCCAAACCCCTCCAGGATGGGAATCACTTCTACAGGCTTCTACCACTGTGGAAAGACAGGCGGGGCTCAACTCGACCAGAGGCGGGGCCTGGAGATTGGGAGTAAGCAAATTAGAATGCCGGCCTCCGATTCAGCGGATGTGCCACGTACATACCAAATCCCTAGCTAGTTCTCCAAATTCTCCCCGAAATTGCCATGTCTCTCTTACCCCCTCAAGGAAAGAGCACGGGAGCACTTAATGCCCTGGACAGGCAAGCCGCGTCTCAAAACCCGGGGAACCTCACCGCTCTGATGCAGTGCGCAACAGGGGCGGGGGAGCTAGGCGGGGCGCCTTGGAAGCAGGAAAAGTCTGGAGTGTGGTGTGTGTGTGTGTGTGTGTGTCTGGAGTGTGGTGTGTGTGTGTGTGTGTGTGTGTGTCTGGAGTGTGGTGTGTGTGGTGTGTGTGTGTGTGTGTCCCTTCCCCGGCAGTGGCCTATCTACGGTGCATTGAATTTCCTGATACTGTTGAGACCACAATCTCTATGTTGAGTCGCAGGGCTGCGATTTGCAGGCCGCGTTCTTCAATATACCCGCATAAACCACGCGTCTGCGTCTTTCCCCGGGTCCTCCCTCCGGTTTGCTACGCCCCTCCGCTTTTCTCCCCGCCATGTTGAGCCCTTCCTACCTTCCTACCACAGCCGCTGCATAGAGCGAGAACTTCCTCCTTTCCTTCTCTGCTCCCTGCATCCTCCCTCTCCCCCAGGTCATTGGTGCCCGGTGACGTGGTATCCGCGACCCTCGCATCAGCCCGGGTCCATTTCCAGGGTCACCCCTCCTCTCCCTCGGTGTGCCAGCGCCTGCCAAGTTGACTCTCCGGCCCTCTAAACATTGGGTTTCACACCCAGGGGTAGGGGAGCTCCCGACCACCTTATCAATGCGGTGGGGCAGGTGCAGGAGCGGGGAACAGCGCCAGGGTCTGCGCCCTCGGGTCCTCGCCCCGCAGTAGCTGCCCCAGACTCACCCTGGCGCCGAGAGCGGTCAGTGGACCCGCAGCTGCGCATCCATTAGCGGGTGGTGTGGCTGCTTCACTTCCGGAGCGCGGACTCGGGGCTGCGCCGCCCTCCTAGGTCCCCTCCCTCCCGGCCCCCTCCCTCCCCTGCGCCCACCCCGCTGGCCCCGCCCCGCGCTGCCGGGAACTGACATCCTCCGCTCCCGCTGCCGCAGCGGCCGCCCGCCCAGATCCAACTTTGCCGCTCGCTTGGAGGTGGCGCGGCGAAGGCTGGGGGCGTGGGCAGGGGGGAAAGAAAGCGGGGTCAGGGGGAGGGACCGCGAGGGGTGGGTCGCCGGCTCGCCGCCTTCCATCCTTTCTGTGCACCTTGCAGTCGGCAGAGAGCGGCAGCCGCGGCGGCAGCTAGGGGCTTGCGCACACCCAGCCAGGGACACTTTGAGAACCGAGGACTGACGGACGGAGAGGACCCTCCCCAGCGCCCCCCGAGCCATGGCAGACAGAAAGCAATCCGGGAAGGCGGCGGAGGACGAAGAGGTCCCTGCCTTTTTTAAAAACCTGGGCTCGGGCAGTCCCAAGCCCCGGCAGAAATTCTGCGGCATGTTCTGCCCGGTGGAAGGGTCGTCGGAGAACAAGACCATCGATTTTGACTCGCTGTCGGTGGGCCGGGGCTCGGGGCAGGTGGTGGCTCAGCAGCGGGATGTCGCCCACTTGGGCCCTGACCCGCACCGGCAGAGCCGGCGTGCCAGTGGGGAGCCATCTGTTGAATCCGCCCGGAAGGTGGAGATCCGGCGGGCCTCGGGCAAGGAAGCCCTGCAGAACATCTACGATCAGGTTGGTATTGGGGGGTGGGGACAGGGCACGGGGATCGCCCCTCGCTCGCCCCCTTGCACCTGGAGGGGGACCGAGCATCCCCGCGTGGTCGCCCGCACGCCGCGCCTGGAGCGCAGCCTCCCGCATCTGCACGCGCACCGCGCCCTGCCCGCCCCTTCTCGGCGCAGGGTGCGGCGACGCTCCGGCTCGCCGGTGGGCGGCTGAGCGCCCACAAAGGCTGCCGGCGCCTCCCTGGGCCTGGGAGGTGGGGGGCCGCGTCGGGGACCAGCTGATCCCTGGGATGGAGGCGTCGCGTGGCGACTGGGGTGGACCACCGAGCCTTTCTTCTTGAATCCTCCCTGGCGACATCGGATTGCAGCTGTGGCTGGGTGCCCCACCCTTTTTTGATGCAGCTTGGAGCGCGCAGTGGAGGGCTGCGGTGCCAGCCCCAAGACTCCCCCGGGGGTCGGGAGGGGCAGGGGCTTCCAAGGCTACTTGGGGTCGCAAGGTCCCCGGCGCCCTGCACACTCATCCTGGGCTCGGGGGTCAGGACCATGGTCAGCGCCCAGAGGCACTAGGCTTCCTTCCAGTGCTCACAGCGTGTCCAGAGGCAGGGAGGCGGTGGCGTCACCCAGAGGCTCCTAGATAGACCATGTGGTGAACAAAGTTCCTTTAAGTGTCTGGGCAAAAGGCCTCTCAGAACGCTCCCTCGGCGCTGTTTGGGTGGTACTTTGGGGATGGGGAGAGACTATAGGGATTATGTTCAAAGAGTCAAAAAGGAAAGAAAAAGGGGGTAGGGGAGAAGTCTTGCAGTTGAAGCCTGGACTCATACTGTGTTAACTAGACAAAGACCAGCTTGGTTGTCCTTGGTCTTAGAAAATGTTTAACATCGTCCTGCAAATATGAACAATGCACATTTAAAGTCCAGTGGTCTTTTCACACACATTTCTCTTTTTTGGGTGACTTTGATACTTGTGTGATATTTTTCACAGCTTTCTTTTCTGAACTGATCGTTTACAGCGCAGAAGGTCTTAACGCTGGTTTGCTGGTTCTCCCCCACGCCCAGATAAGAAATCAATGAACGATTTTTAAAATTCAGTTCCTATGTGCCTTGTCTTCTAGGACAGGAAGAAGGTTAGTCCTAAAGAGTTCAAGGGGCTTCCATTCACAGGGCTTCTGGGGGAGTTGAGGGCGGTCTGCACATGTGCACTCAGGGACTGCCATCGTCAGGGGTCTGTGCTACAAGGAAAGGCTCAGAGACTAGCTTGAAGAATGACTGGGGCAGGACGTCCCTGTTTCCTGGTGGGCAGTCTTCTAGCTTTTGACTTTCTTTGGACCAATTCTAGGAAAAATAAGCCAGTTCCTGTCATTTTTGAAAGGTGACCTGAGCAATCCTTTAATTTATACCCACCCATCCTCTGATTTTTTTCCATACACAGGAATATTTCATTTTTGTATTTCACTAGAAGACAACCACAAGAATCTAAACCCCCAAAAGATTGCTTTACTCAAATAAAACAACAATTGAAATAAAAGTTTTTTCTTTCTTTCTTTTGTTTTCTTTTTTGAGACAGGCTCTCACTCTGTAGCCTGGTCTTGAACTCAAGGAAATTCTCTGGCCTTAGCTTTCTGTATGCTGGGATTACAGTCATGAGCCACCATGACCAGCTTACCTTCCTTCCTTCCTTCCCTCCTTCCCTCCTTCCCTCCTTCCTTCCCTCCTTCCCTCCTTCCCTCCTTCCTTCCTTCCTTCCTTCCTTCCCTCCTTCCCTCCTTCCCTCCTTCCTTCCTTCCTTCCTTCCTTCCCTCCTTCCCTCCTTCCCTCCTTCCTTCCTTCCTTCCTTCCTTCCCTCCTTCCCTCCTTCCCTCCTTCCTTCCTTCCTTCCTTCCTTCCCTCCTTCCCTCCTTCCCTCCTTCCTTCCTTCCTTCCTTCCTTCCCTCCTTCCCTCCTTCCCTCCTTCCTTCCTTCCTTCCTTCCTTCCCTCCTTCCCTCCTTCCCTCCTTCCTTCCTTCCTTCCTTCCTTCCCTCCTTCCCTCCTTCCCTCCTTCCTTCCTTCCTTCCTTCCTTCGCTGAAATAATAAATATGTACCACAATATCTGGCTCTTTCATCCCTTCCTTCCTTCCTTCCTTCCTTCCTTCCTTCCTTCCTTCCTTCCATGGTGCTGAGTTCCAAAACCAGAGTCTTGCACATGCTCAATATACATTCTAACTTGGAGCTACATTCCCAGCCCAAACATTTCTAATACTGTACCTTATACTGAAAGCTGAGTAAGGATGAGTCACATCTGCATGGGAGTACATTGAAAATCAAGATCATGTAACATGGAGGTTGAGTGAGCACCCAAAAGATAGTCAAGTTGTGTGGGTCACTCCAACTGACTGGAAGAGGCCAAACTGCACCTGCAGAATCAGTAAGAGAACTCATGAAAACATCAGATGAGGGGACAGAGGTTGAGTGTGGTCACCCTATAATAATGGCAAAGCTTCACTAGTTGAACAAAACATCAACTTTCCTATTTAGAAGCTTCAATGTGGGTCATCAGGGCTAATTATTGGAACACCCCCTGAATTTAACAGAAATTTTAAATTGCAAATCTAGGGCACATGGAGGGGAGGATTTGAAGACAAAAGCACCTGGTCAAACCCCTGGGCAGTTTTAGACTCTGCAAATCCATCTTTGCCTCAGCTGCCTGGTTATGAGTCCTGGAGGAAGATTGTGGTTTGGCCTTCCTGGAGCCCACCCTGATTTCTTTATCACTTAAGGGGCATTCCTGTGAGATTCTGTCATTCACAACTAGGGACATTTATCTGGATACACTGCATGAAGTTTTCACGTCTGCACTGGAGGGAAGGACACTAGGTGTGCATATGTGTGCAGAATGATTGTGATTTCTGACATCGCAATTGGGCCCACCATTTTGGCAGAATCAAGTGGTCATTGCTTACGGTTAGCTTGTGAGCAGGGTGGCTTTGAGCATCTCAAGGCATTCTCCTAGAACAGAGAGGGGTAGACTGAGTGGACCATGCTCTTCCCCCCTAAATTTGTATTTGTAAGTGCTGTTAAGTTAGGGTTGCCGGGTGTGGTAGTGCAAGATTTAATCCAACACTGGGGAGGCAGAGGCAGGAGGATCTCTGTGAGTCAGAGGCCAGCCTGGTCTACATAGTGAGTTCTAGGCTAGTTAGGGCTACAAAGTGAGACTCTATCTAAAAAAAAAAAAAAAAAAAAGCTCAAAGTGGTTTTGCTCATCAGCCACACTAGGAGTGTCCCGGAAAGTACCAGAACAGGCTCCTTAGCCATGTTAGCTCATGGAAGATGAGAGGGGGGCTGGTGGATGCATTCCCAGAGACTAGGGAAGGATTCTGCAGTGTTGGGTTTTCTTTTTCTTTCTTTTCTTTGGGGGGGTCTCTTGAGACAGGGTCTTCCTGTAGACCCAGCTGGCCTGGAACTCATTATATAGACCAGGCTGGCCTCAAACTCAAAGAAATATGTTTGCCTCTGCCTCTGTTGAGTGCTGGGATTAAAGACATGCACCACCATGCCCAGCTAGGATTCTGCAGAGTGTAAGCAGGTCAGAACCAAAAAGCACTGGGTGTAGTTTGACCCAGGCTGTCAGGTTTGGGTGAAGGAAAAGAACCAGAGTAGAAAGGTTATAAATGAGGAAAGTTTCTGTCTTGTCACCTTTCTTTCCCCTGTGCTCTGGCCTGAGGTCAGTTTAGGCTGCAGTGAGGTTATATTGATTCCTACCTGCGACAGAGCTGAGCCTCTTGGGATGCAGAAGGACATCTATCTATATTGGTGTATTTGTCAGTCTCCCATCATTAAAACAAAATACCTGAGGTGGACTGCTTGTGAGGTAGAGAGGTTTATTTTGGCTCATGGTTCTTGAAGTTTGGGTTTGGGTATTTGGTGATGGGGTAAAACATGGAGAAAGAGAGAGGCTGAGAGGGAGAGGGAAGAATAGAATGAGGAAGAAGAAGGAGGGGGGGAGGGGAAGGGGAGAAGGGAAGGAGG